CCAAACACGTCCATCGCCCTTTTGTTTTCCAGAAAAGTTTGTTTCCAAAAGACTAAAGTATTCAATAATTTCTAATAATTGTTGACTGAAGTTGAATTGTCAAAAGTCGTTTCGTTGTCAACGTAGTGTAAATTCAACTGATTTCGCAGAAGAAAATCGAAATTTGAGTTGTTTAATGGTGACTATGGGGTAAGCTTTAAATCTCGATGGAAACCGTAACCCCAAACCGAGCTGTCGAAATACCCATTGAATCGAATGGCCGCTTGTGGAAAGATTAAATAATACGACAGTAGAGATATTTCAATGATAATTAAGGTTTCTATAGAAATTTATAGTCTTAATATTTTGATTGGCATGTACTGATAGATCTGAACAAAGATAATAATGAACGGATTCAAGCTTTCGTCGAAATATATTGCCAGATAGCTTGATTGGTGTTTAGGTAGAATCACACCCACAGCTCATACTGCTTATTGACAAGAGCTTCGAATTTTGAAAATTACTCTGATACATTAAAGCAATACTGAAATGCTAAAATCCAAAGGCACACCAAAACCGATCAGATTAATGAAAGAAACGATTTACGTTAGTAATTGTGGCTCGTTTATGGTTCTAGATAATTTACTAATTTTTTCTTCAGTGTGACATTGATATATATGTATATGTTGTTGTATTCAGTGCTTATTTTCGTGATTTTCATATCATCGAAACAGTTACTTAGAAAAGTAAACTGTACATTTAGATCCTTAAACACGGTAAAAATCGTGACTATGTCCACCTTTAAAACACATCTACACTAAATAGCGTGTTCTGCTACAAAAAATAATTTGATTTCATTAATTCATCTTAATCCAAGATTGACGACTGTATTTTTGTAACCATTTCAATTCCTCTCGAACCTTGATTTTTCCATATCAAGGTGTGTTACTATTGATTACTGAATGCCCTTCATTTGGAAAAACGATTAGTTGAACAGGTATTCCAAGACTATGCAATCCACGTTACAACATGTAACTTTGAGCAGTCGGAACTCGAGCATCACGTGAACCAGTAACGAGATGTGTCGGTGTATGTACTCTATCTAAGTAATGCATGGGTGCTGAATTTTGGTATAGATGCGGTACTTCCCATGGAAAAACACCTATAAAATAGTTAATATGTATTGGCCAATTCATTGTACCCGAAAAAGAAACATGTTCAGGTGAACCGACACCAGATACAGCAGCATTGAAACGTGTTGTTTGTGTAATTAACCAATTTGTTAAAATACAGGCATAACTATAGCTACCAATCCCAAGTCTATTCCCATCGGCCATGCTATCTTTAATCAAACGGTTGATGGCCGAGAGAATATCGATTCCAGGTCGACTTATAGGTTGATGACGAACTTCATTGAAGAACTGATCACCATATCCGGTGAATCCTCGATAGTTGGGTTCTAGAACTAACCAACCATTCAAGACTGCTATTGGAGCCCAAAAGTAGGCATTGCCTTGTAAATGATTTAGAGTTGCATCATATGGGCCACCATGAATAAGGATGAAAAGAGACAGATTTCTGACTTCAAATTGTACTGGTGGGTAATGTAAAATTCCTTCTATTGTTCGATTATCTTCCTTATTTTTCCAACAGAATGTTTTTGATTCAGGTACAACACGTTGAGTTCAATGATAATTTTCATTGGTGATTGCTTTTGCTGATTCGATTTGATCAATATTCTCAATACAATAAACTTCTTTCGGTGCTTTAAGTGATGAATAAATAAACGCAAGCAAACAATTTCGATTAGATGGTCTTGATACTGCAATAGATTCGTAAGTGTCACTCCAACCACGATATGAATTGAATTATATCCATTGATGATTGGTGTGAATAGATTTGAACGTCAATGCTCAATTGTCCAAGGAGATAGATACTATCATCAAGATCGCGTTGCTCAATTACATCATTATATGCCAATCGTAAAAGTGATGATACATTTCGAAAATCAATTGAATAAATTTCAAATTTATTTCAATTTTCTAGGATTTCTGCTGCTAATGTCAAGATCAGTTTTTATTCGGAGGAAACGAATAGTAATTCACCAGTAAGAAAAGAAACATTGGTGATGATCTGAATAGCTGTTGGTGATACTCGATTTTTCACATCGATATTAATACGATAGATTGTACTACCTTGTTTAGGCTTGATTTCTCTATGTCAAATCTAGGGATGGGCGACGTCAGTTACAGCATCGAAAAACCGTCGCTTTTGTCACCGACAATGATTCTCAGTGCCCATTGATAGCTTCAGCACCACTGACTACCGAAATATTGATCACACTGATGCCGACGTCACCGGAACACCGATGATCACACCCATCGCTGATCGTTGATACACTGATGTCTCTTAATAACCCATGCGGAAAATTTCGCTCCTTTTCAATGCTGCAAAACGCGTTAACGCGGACCGATTTAACGCGTTCCGCAGCTGCTGAATCGGTTAAAAATGCCGCGAGATTATATACTTTTCGTTTTCATTCTGAAATAGTGACTCCCAAACGTGTTTTAAGTAAATAGGAAAATTGTTCTTACGCCGGTGCTACCATAGGAAACGCTGCGAAACACGTTAAATCGACCAGCATTAACTCGTTTCACAGTGAATATATCTTAATTTTTTATCCCATGGATAATTGTTACATAATACTGCAAGACATGTGCTTTAGTTAAACAAAGAATAATCATAGACTAGATGCATGCATAGTTTCAAAAATATTAATACTTAGAGTTTTAGAAACGCGAAGAAAATTAATACGTCTTCGTTGAAGAATTTAATAAATAAGTTATAAGTGAAAATCTTCGACATGAAAAGAGCACGTAAATAAATGAATATTCTAGAAAGACAATTTTCTGAAAATAGAAGTAAATAGGCCTTTCAAAGATCAAGATAAATAAAACGAAATCGATTATTTCATTGAATCTAAAAATCCATTTCACTTCGTGCCGCTTCTTAGGCAAAATAAGAAACCAAAACACGACATATTCAATCTATTACATTCGATTTTCGGGAAAATCTTTCGGTTCGAATTCTGCGTTTGCAAATGAAAATAAATTTTGATTGCGAAAATGAGACTTATATCAAACGGTGAAGGTGGTAAACAAAGTCAGGCACTTTCATTTTTATTTTTAGCTGCATAGCCCGACGTGATGGCTCAAATGACCAAAGTAGAAAGCAAGCACGACTAGTCACTTTATTATTTCTTTTCCAACTGCGTAATACCATTATCAAAAGAGAAGATGTCGAGGACATTCGCTTCCAATGTCCAATGATATTTTAGAAAGTTAAAGAACTTGAAAAGATGAAGTAGAACAATTGTCAGAAGCGAACTGAGAAGATGAAAGAAAAAGACGTAAGAACACATTATGGAAAATGATTGACAGGATACAGTGTATATTGTATAATGATAACCAAGAATTATCTGACTCGTTCTTGAATAGAATTTAACATTCAGTAGAGGCAGTTGTAAGAAATAGAAGAAATAGATTTGGTAACTATTCAATTGATATGATTTCGCATCCAATGAGAACACCATACATATTGTAATATTTTATCTAGAAGATGCCATAACACCGCTTATGAAATACAGTCAATGAAAATCAATATCAATATGCCAGTGAAGTCAGTGTGCCTGACGTACCAGTGACGTCGGCGTCAGTGTGGTCAATATTTCGGTGGTCAGTGGTGCTGAAGTTATCCGTGCGCACTGAGCATCGATGTAGTGAAATAAAGAGAAGAATCACTTTTACACCATGTTATGGTCGAAGGAATTGCTATGTCAGTGTTTACTGGTAATAACTCATTTGACTGAATAGAATACATATAAATATGTTGTTCTATTTGTGACAGACACGATTTGTCCTATTTGTTTGTAAAATTTCGTCCTGTAATAATACAATTCAATTTCCACTCTATGATCATACTTGGTTTTAAAGCTTCGAAAAGCTTTCTTGTAATCGATTCTCTTCGCTGTCCTTGTGTTGCTTATAGCCATAGACTATTCTAAAACGAATTTGAATTCCATAATGGATGCCTAATACGAATAAGCAAATATTCGCCAGTTGCCGAAAACTTTAATAATGGATATTGTGCATAATCAAAAAAATCATCGAATGTTAACGGTGATTTCGTTTGTATCGAAAAACATAGTGTAATTTTGAATATGACCAATAAATGGACTTGCATCCACGTGATTTGTGTTTTCTCTTAAAAAACGTACAAGATTTTGAAACTACAGCAAAACAAATTCGAATTTAATTATCATCTTTAAATATTCTGCTTTCAGCACTTATTTTCAAATATTGTCATCTTCCAGTAGATCTTATCACTTTCTATCTCTTTCGTTTAGTACAAAACCAATTACATCTCTAAAGAACCTTGGAAGAACTTTTCGGATTGTTCAAAATTCTGACTGATAATGTATTAATCAATGGGGAACGCTTTATGAGATTTTTGTTTTCATCAAAAATATCTCTGAGCAAGTAAATTACGTATAGTTATCGCAAGAAAAGTTGTTTGGGATGTTTTATGAAATTCCTATTGCATGTTTAAGCTTTACCAAAACAATCATAGACACTACTATTATACTCGTCATTTCAAATAGAGTCTCATCCAAACCCAATAGTCACTTGAAAGTTTTGTTTTTCATTTTGTCAAATAATGACAATTAAACTACCATATGCACGATCTTTCTATCGGATTCAGTAAGAATACACTATTGATATTGTCTTTTCTGCTTCAATTTTTTGATAGTCCAAGAGAGATTATTATTTTTGTCCTAATATTGTTATACGTATATAACGTGTTTGTTGTCAGCGAACTAGAGCTTTGGATTTCCGAGAAAAAGGGAACCGAGAATTGGACGAAAACTGAATTTTTTTAAGATTCTCCTACTCAAAGCTGTTGGAACCCTAAATTGTTTTACTCATGACTAGGGGTGGCACTTTATCTTTCTGGATAAGTAAGATGAAGTAAAAATGAGATAATGGAAAGCATATAGCTGTTTATTATTGACTGATTTTTTCATTATGACACACTAAAGAGCTTCCAATATGTCAATATTTGTTTTAAATTACGGACTTAGCGTCATAAAAACTCTGACCATAATTACATTAGTTTTAGAATTGATATGAACCCTGATCATTTTTCAAAAGTTTATTTTATCTTTGATCACTACTCAATTTCCCACACTAAGATCCTTCTCATCTGTCTAAAATCCTTTTGATCGTCGTTTTCATATTAATCTTTTTAGTTCGATAGTACTAAATACTTCGAATACGAATATCAATTTATTTTCAAAGTACAGTTGGATAATAAGAAACAGATCAAGC